AATGATTCTAGTGAAACCCAAGTTTCTGAAATCCAATTTTTTTTTTTATATATATATATATTATATATATATTGTTAGTGCTTTTTATGAGTTTAAAATTTCATTTGTGTTAATACAATTTACTTGGATTATACTAACAGTTCACTACATGTATATATATATATATATATATATATATATATATATATATATACATCAAATGTAATGAGAATAAAAAAATATAACATTCACAGCATTAATTCAAAAAGTGAGTAAATTATTTTTGTCTATATTAAAAATTATAATATATATATATATATATATATATATATAAAAATTGGGAGATGAGCCAATCACGCTACCTTGGTTTCAATCTTTCAGTATCTTCAGGCAATTCAAATAATTTCCTAAAGCTTTATTATTTAAAATAAATAAACACACAATGTGAAGCATAATAGAAGAGGAGGAAAAAGCAAGGGTATTGTAATTGTATTGAGGGGGTTATATGAAATGAATATACTTTCATCCTGGTCTGTATCATCTCAAAAGGAACTTTTTAATATATATGCATCATTTTTTATGGTCTGGAAATGTTATTATTGTTAACTTTTCTAATATGATTGTTGTGATTTGGCAGTGCATGATGAATGATGGCTTTATCCATCTCTTCTTGAAGCTGCCTTCAAAAAAGATTTTCAATTAATGATATCATGTTAGTTTTGAAATTCCTGGTATTTTGTCTTTTATTGTTTTCTAAATTACAAGTCAAATATGGATCGGAATCCAACAGAATGATAAGGTCTGGTTCATGCATTAAAAAGGTAAATTAAAAGACAATGTTTATTTTGTTAGGGTATCCAATAAACTTTAATCTATGGACCTTAATAATATCTCCCTCATATAAATGGGGGAGGAGATGGTACTGCAAAATAGCCACCACATTTGCCTAAGAAATGCCAATTCAGTATAGCATTTCAATGTAGTATTAGATCAAGAATGTAGCCAACCGACTACTGAAAAGTTGATTTCACATGATAAATAAGATATAATTTATAAGATCTGTTTAATGGCATATCAACTCCTTATGGGTCATTTAATGCTGAATGACAACTTAACAACAAAAAGAAAAATCATTCTTTCACCAAACACCAAGGTCTGGTACTATTAGTAATCAGTTCTTGAGACTGTGGAGTGAAGACAGAAATAATCACCAAGACAGTCAATCATCAAATGGCAAAAAAATGGTTTCTGAGTTGAAGGATCTGCACATTCTTCCAGTTTATAAGTGAATCCTTTGAAAATAAATATTTAACATTTTCCAACAAATGAGCTGCATTCCTACCAACAATAAAAAACATGTTTTGTGATCCCTTTGAAGAGTATTTAAGTAAAGTCACTAGATGGACAAAAACCAGTAAGGAGATAGAATGGCAGCATACAAAAACAGTTCATGACAGCATGGCTTCAAAGAGATTCCTTACTGTCTTCCTCACCAAGTTATGACATTTATACTCTTCCTCACCAAGCTACATGACATTTTTCTTCACCAAGTTAGCCTCCTTTTTTTTACATACACACAAAAAGAAATCACAATCTTAACAACTAGAAACTTTAACACAAGAATTTTAACACTTATACACTGTGAAAAATTTAGTTGTAAAAACACGAACATAAAAATATTTTACATTTTTATATTCAAAAACCTTTCTCACCTTTTAATTTGTTGTGAGTTGATTCGAATCCACAACAAAACTATTACAAAATTCTTCTTTCATTAAAATCCAAATTGCTTTTGTTTTAATCTTTTTAGTTAACCCTTTTTTTATCTAATATAATTATTACTTTTAAAAGATGGCAAGTACCCAAAAAAGAAAGAGAGGTAAAAAAAAAAAGTACTGCTGAGAGAAATACAAGAGATGAAGCTGTGGGGAGTCATGATTGTTCATGTCCTGAAGGGACATTCCATACAAAGAGAGAGAAAATGTGTGTGTGTGTGTGTGAGAGAGAGAGAGAGAGAGAGAGACTAACAATGTGCACATATGAGTGGGTGGGAAAATAATATACCTGAAGTATTGTGATAACAATAAAATAACAATAAAATAACAGAAAGGAATGGCTGAAGTAGTTGGGTACTTCCCGTCAGTGTTTGGGTTTCTGTGTTCAAGATGATATAAAAAGTCAGAATTTTGAATGTTGATCTTCAAGGCAGGCACTATGATACCCCTTCAAAGACTGGATCAGCACAATCATCCTTAGAGTATCTGTTTGTTTTTGCTTTGCCATCAATCATACTGATTACAAAAGAAGCAGGGGAAAACAGTGAGTAAACTACTTGGTGAGTTTGCATAAATGGATGGCGGAAATAGTAAAAAAAAGGAATCAGTTGTAGACAGCTACAGTTTAGATATTTCTAAATAAGGTTGGCAACATGTATGATATTCATATAAATGTTGAGATCTGATGAGGCTAGTGAAATAATTTTTTTTTTTTTAGAAATGTTGTAAGATATTAAAGAATTGGAAACGAAACCAGACTGCTGGTCTTCTATTTTATGAATATCTGTCATTTCTTAATATGGTTTTACCTACAAAGAATATCAGGGATGGTCTATATAAGTAATGAGGAAGTTTGAAGAAATTCATAATCAGAAATAAACTGATATTAAATAGAAAGAAACTGATGTTAATGATCATGACAGCTGAAATTGTAAGAAAACATATTAAGGAAAGATGTCTTGGAGAATTTAAAAATCATATTGATAGCAAGAGAAGCAGAAACCCCAAGGAAAGTGAAATGCCTTTTTTTAGTTAGCTGATCAGCCCAGTACAACCTTCTTAGCATATTAAGGATTAATCTTACCTACTAAATGTACTATTTACTAAAACTCTAAAACCTGAATAGTGGCTGCAGTAGTTGGATGCTTCCTGTCACTGTTAGGGTTCATTGTTTTAGCTGATATAAAAAAGTAAAGATTTTGAATACTGATCTTCAAGGCAGTCAGTATCACACTACTTAAAAGATTGGAGCATCGCAATCATCTTCATAGTGTCTGTTTGCCTTCATTTTGCAATATGCTAGACTGATATCAAAATAAATTATCTAGAAACATAATATAGAAGATAAATTTTGTATTTAATGAGAACTGATTTGGGTTGGACAATGTTTACTGCACTACAAAAAAAGAATTGTGATAAAAGCCAATAAATTTCAGTTATTTGGCAAGAGTCTGTGCCATGAAAGAGGAGTCCAAAAGCCAGAAATAGACATCGATAAAAAGATGGGCATTTTGGCCATTGGTCAAGCTTTATATACAGGTCACTGGCAATCAGTTGCTTTGCTTTTATTTTATTTTTATGTAAAAATATAAAATCAAATTTGAGGTTCAAAATAAAACAAGATTTATAATATTTAAACAAGATTTTGTATTTCCTGCTTTAAAATGTTATATCCTTGAGGCAGAACATAATGAAAAAAATGCCAATTGCACACATTTCTAAAATTTTGAAAAAAATTCCAAATGTCTCAAGTTTTGGAAGATTAATATAACAGAATATTCTTAACATTATTACTATTCCATGAAAAGTTCAGAAAAAGAATAACCATTCCAATTTCTATGAATTAATAAATAATAATAATAATAATAATAATAATAATAATAATAATGATGATGATGATGATGATGATGATGATGATAATAATAATAAGTGGAAATCTGAAAAATGTGGCACATGAGGCTATAAAAATAATTCCAGTAGTAGTTGGAGCCCTCGGATTGATTGTAAAAGGTTCTGATAGACTCATTAAAGGGATTTCCTGGTAGTCCAAGCCTTAAAGAAATACAAAAAAGTGTACTCACAAGTACAACTTACACATTATGAGGAGATTTATCTATGTAAAATGTGTCAAATTAGGTTTTTTGAGGGGTTTTTTTGACAAAAAAACCCCCTAAGATCATCCTTCTTTTTATCATGCAATCCATGCTTTAAAGTAATGCAAAAAATTGTACTCACAAGTACAGCTTGCATATTACGAGGATTTTTAGCAAAGTAAAATGTGTGATCTTATGTTTTTCTTACAAAAAATGATCAGTGGAAAATGTCATGAAGTCATTTCTGAACTTAGGTCTCTAGTTGGGTCCCAGAAGGAAATACTTATAAAACAGAAGACCAAGGGAATAATAAAAATAATAATAATAATTATAATGATAATAACTTGCCTACTAATTGATATGGCTTGACTGTAACAGAGCAACCAAGGAATTTGAAAAGTTATCAAATTTTAAAACCTGGAATTTGAAATAGAAAAAATGAAAACAAGCATAGTACCAGTCAGAGTAGGTGTGCTTGGAATGATAAAAAAGGAATGCAACACCACATTGAAAAAATCCCTGAAAATCTCTGCTTAAGAGAAATACAAAAAATCATTTTGATAAATACAGCCCACACACTAAAAAGAACTTTGTACATGTAATGTTAGTGATGTTATGGAAGTTAGATAAACAAATCATGAAATGTAGCCATAACAAAACACCACGACCTGCTTTAGGTTTTTCTGCAGAATTGGTAGGTATTGTGACATAGTAGAAATTGAAATATAATGATGATGATGGTAATAATACCAAAGATTGTGTTTCACAAAAAACTAAAAAGAATTTGATGAGTATATTTGTGAAGAATAACAGTTTCAAGGCAAGCAGTCTTTGTAATTAAAGTGCTTAAATATTAAGAGACAGCATTAAGAGTTGTTCCTTAAGTGCCATGCATGATTAAATGATCATGGTGCTTTTCAATTCATGATTAACTTGGCAGAAGAATTCTTGCAGTTACTTTCTGTAGTAGACTGGTTACCAACCAAGGCTATAGGATCCAGTCAGTCCTGCTATTTAAGAGAAGAGATGAATTCATACCTTTCCCCAGGGTATTTGTGCATAATTGAATGAAGAAACTTAATTGGAATTTCAACTTGGCTCTCTGATTTCTCATTCCAAGTCATTAACTATCACACCACCTGCACATCCAATCTTACAGTACCTGGTATTCCCAAGTGGTCACCCATCTATGTACTGATCACATTCAATGTTGCTTAACTTCAGTGATCGGACAAGAATCAGTATTTTAATCTAATATTGATGTAAGTGCATTAATGATAAAGAAATTAAAATAAAATTTCAAAAAGTTATTTCCAAGATTTTAAGTTTTACAGATGTAATTTTCATCAGACGATTAGATAATTCAATTGAATTTATTTACAGATATCATATATTGTTTAAAAGATATTACATAAAATAATGTTTATGTTAGCAATGTTGATAAAGATATTACATAAAAAATGTAAACATTAACAATGTTGATAAGGATACTACATAAAAAATGTTAATGTTAGCAACGTTGATAAAGATATTACATAAAAAATGTTAACGTTAGCAACATTGATGCAAAAAGTTTTTGCTTTTTTATGTAACGACTATTAAAAAATACATGTTAGTAAATTCAATTAAACTATCTAACCTGCTTATAAGTAGATTATATTTGCAAAACTTTGCAAAAGTTGAGAAGACAAGTTTTTGAATGTTCTATTTTATTTTTTTACTAAATTCATAAATACAATTAAAATATATAATCATATTAGTATCTGTCAGTCTTGGGAAGCTATAGAACTGAACACTGGATAAGGTTTCAAGCTCAGTGTCCATTGTGGCTTGACACGCCTATTTAAAATGGCAATCTCTCTCATATTATGCTGTTTCACAATTTTCCAACACACAAAGTCTGGGTAAATTGATATGAGAAAAGGTTTTCACTTTTGCAGGAAGATCCCCTGCTCTCTATATTGCTGAAATTGTCACAAGAATGTGGAAAGGTAAACTGAAATCCAAAGAAGAATCAGCAATATTATTGGGCCTGATCTGGTGGCTCAGCTTCAGTCACTTTCCCACCGCCTAAGGGTTGCCTCACTGTGCATTTTCTATAAATACTTTCACAGAAATTATTCAGATGAATTCTTCACTATGGTATCTAGACTTTCTGAATTTATGCACAGTACAAGACTTGCGTCAAGATCTCATCAATATAGTTGAGTTGGCTAGATGTAACCATAAATTCTATGCTAAGAGTGTCTTTTCTCAAACTTTTCATTTGTGGAACTCCCTTTCCGTTCCATGCTTTCCAGCCAACTTTAATTTCTAAGAATTTAAATGTAATGTCAATTGCTATCTAAAGTTTTCCTGATTACTCTTTTTTCTTTCTGCTCATTAGTAATGTTTCTGTTTCTAATTCTTCTGCAACCAGTAACCCCTTGTATAGGGTAAACTTGATTAAAAAAAAAGAAAAAAGCAGAACCCACCTTGCTTTTTGTGAGATTAATCCCAGTCCTGCCTCAATAATAAAAAAAAAACACACACATCTACGAGGATGATAAGGTCTGTGTAGGTAAATATGAAAAAAAGATTTTTACCCATGCAGTCAGCCCACTCCCTCTTCTGTATATCGCCGAATTGGTTCAATAGAATGATAAATGCCAATACACATGGTTCCAATACTATCACAAAACTTGCCAGGATGTTGGTGAATATAGCCACAAACTGTTTTAGGAAATCTGAATGGATTGGTGGTGGTGGGGGGGATGATTCCTTAAATCCCATCTCTGGAGAGGGTATAGCTGAAGGAAGTCAATGTTTTTTTTCTCCATTGAAATCGGTTACTACGAGAAGTTTACAAAACCTGAATGACTTGCTTTCACCCTCCTCCTGTTAGTGGGTACAGCTTCATCAGACAAAGCCACACATTAAGATAGGACTATATATATATATATATATATATATATATGTGTGTGTGTGTGTGTATGTGTGTGTAAAAGTGAAATTGAAGTCAACACTCAGAGGCAACAGGCCATTTCATGCTGGACACAATCGTCAGGTGGACTGGCAATTGCATCCAGCATGAAACAGCCTGTCACCGCTGAGTGTTGACTTCAATGTTCACTTTTATATTTATATTTACATACGCTCTATCTCTGATATTGAGCCCTTTATCCCATAAATATAGCACACCTTAAAACTATATTTCTTCAAATATATATATATATATATATATATATATATATATATATATATATATATATATATATATATCAATTGCAAACAATACTGTTTCGCTGTATCACACTCAGTGTGAGTAGACATCCGAATGCTTCAAACCAGGATCAAAACCCAACTGATTTAGTGTCAGTCAGAGCTTCTACCACTGAGCTATCTTCATTTCGCAGAGTGAAACAGCTAAATCTAACATATTGTTTTTAATAATGTAAACAAATACCAATCAGCCAGAGTGCTCTATTCATTTTATTGAAGAGCTTTGCATTAACACAGGTGGCTATTGTTTAAAGAATTAGCTTATCATTCAATAGTGCTCAATTGAAATATATTTTCAAGAGCTACTGTTTCGCTATAATAGGAGGCATGGTGGAGTAGCGGATAGTGGTTCAGATTGAGAAATCAGAGAGCCAAGTATGAATTCCAATCAAATCCATTACATTCACTACTATAATAAAATCATATGTGCAGGTGTCTGGCTGTCGGTTCCTAGGAACTAAGCTGCTTGACCCCCATATGTTGAATACAAGGGGGTAGTTCGGCATATATATATCTGTGTGTGTGTGTTGTTGGATCCTAATACCTCGATACAAAAGTTCATGCTGTTTTAAGTGAATTTCAAAGACAATATTTAGATATTTGTGTATAGAACTATTCAGCAACATATGAGTCATTTTGTTTCGCTACCTTTCACCATCTTTGAGACAGCTTCATGATTCAATCCTCACAGAATTTGGCATCTTTCAGTTTTTTTTTATGTGCTTTCTGAGAATTGAAGTTCTTCCCATTAAGAAAAAAATTGTAGGGATTGGAATAAGTGGTAGTGTGAAAGTACAAGATCAGGTGATTATGGCAGGTGTTGTTGAACATCCCAGGTGTACCAATTTCAGCTTCATCTATCGATGTTTTTCATACATTGCTGCCTTGAATCAGTTTAATTGGGAAAAGTACCTTTCTGAATTCAACAACTGATTTTGTGGAAGAAGCTTGTAATACATAATGATCTTCCAATCTTACCAGATGCACAGAATCCATCTCTTTTGTCCTCATCTATAGTTTAAATAAGATTGGGCTCTTGAGCCATGGTTGGTAACCAGTGTAAGAGAAGGACAAAAATAAATACTAGTTTACTTATAATAATATAACACTATTATATTAAATGCTTTTTTATATATTATTTTACATTATATTTATAATATTATGGTAAATATTTATATTGTTTTACATATTATATATCTTTTTTATATGATATTATAAATAGAATATTATGCCAAATATATAATCATACTTATTATAAAACTCAGGTTGTGTGTGTGTGTGTGTCTGTACGTTTATATATTGGATCAGATTTCCTACATTTTTTAACCAATTTCAACAAAACTTCATAGGACTACGTAAAATTACCTTGCGGTGGTTGTGACAGCACCCAAAATTGGAAAAACACAATTGTTTTTGCATGAAATCAATTTGAAAATACGATTAAGAGGCATTAATGAAAGGGGGACAACTCATATCAAGTTATATTTAAAACCCTGTGTGTGTGTGTGTGTGTGTGTTCATTTATATATGGGATCTACATTTTTCAACCGATTTCAACAAAACTTCACTTTTTTTTTTTGGCAGGTAGTGTTTCTTATTGTCTTGCACACTTTTTTCTTTATTTTTACATTCAGAATGCTTTAAAAATTCCATTTACAAGACAATTGTTTATAATAAAATTCTATTCAATCGGTAGATCCATAACGATTGAAAACAATGTTTTTGCTTGAGTTTTGGGGTTGACCAATTCGTAAAAAAAAACTAAAAAAAAAAACTAATTAAGACATGCGTGTCCGTCAACCTTAAACAATAATCTTTGTCAATTTTATTTTTCAGTCTTTATGATGTTCAATACTTGATCTATCTCTTACTGTTACATCCCCGGGCAACGCCGGGCCCTACTGCTAGTTTTTATTATATTATTTTATATAGTATCATAAACATATGATTATTATTTTTCTATTATTTTTATATAATATTAAATGTTATATATAAATAGATATATGTGTGTGTGTGTGTGTTGTGGCAGCAGATCATTATTCAAACATATATTGTTAAATATAACAGACAATGAATGTCTATTATGTGTGATCATGTGCCATTCTAAGCTTTCTATAGTAACTTTAGTTAACTGTTGTAATGTTCATATAACTCCCCTGATGATGGCTCATGTGAGCCAAAATCTTAGATCGAGGAACAGCATAAAAAATATCCAAAAGTTGGACAGATTTTGTCTTTATTTTCTCCCAAACCTGAAGTTACTATATGAAGCTTAGAACGGCTCATGATCAAACATAATAGACATTTGTTGTCCATTATATTTAACAATATAAAAAAAAATCCTGTCCATTTTTTTCTTTAATCATAATCCTTATGTATTATCTGTTTTTAGGAAATGATCATCAACCCTTATTTACTAGACTTTAGATTTCTTAGAGCAGACATTGGAACACTTACCATTATCAACCAAAAATGGTAAGGAAATTGTTAAATCTTATCAGTAAATTCTCAAAATTAAAACTACAATTCTTCAGGTTATTTTTGGAATACTTACAAAAACAATTATTTGGCAACATCTTTTAATATTGTTGACATTAATGCAGGTGTCCTCGGGGCTCTATCCTTGGAGCTACCATGCTTCTAATCTTCATCAGTGACTTGTACAATGACATTGGTTCTCAACTTGGTATCTTTGACAACTATTTACATCTGTCTTAATGGTAAAATTGTCAGCTAATCTCAAAAATGACTTTCAATCTGATGTAAACTGGGGCAGAAATAGTTTGTTAATTTTAACATCTCCAAAACAAAACTATTCTCTTTTAATCATCTTATACAACATTTATTGCCTTGGGCTGATGCTAACCTCCAAAAGAGTGTGACTTTCTTGGATTAATGTTTTATGCTGACATCAAGTATAGCAATTATATTGAATTAATTGCTAGGTCTGATTCTAAGAAAGTTGATTAACTATGTTGTGCTAGTCT